TTTATTAGGAGGAGGAGCTGGGCTTCTCGGAAAATTTTATTTTGGCCATATTGTCTTCATAAGCCTAAGCCTAAGTCTAAGCCTGAGCCTGAGCCTGGGCCCTAAGCCTTAATTGCCTTTAGTAGTTCGATTCTTAGCTCTGAAAAAACTTACCTAACATTTTTCTCTATCTCTCGTTTTCCCTCGCTTTCTCTCTCCCTCCCTCTCTCACTCTATCTTTCTCACTCTCTCTCTCACTCTCTCTTTCTCTCTCTCATTCTCTCTCTCATTCCCAGGTAGATCATGACTGTTTGTCTGATTGCTGGTGCCAGGGTATTTATCCCCCCTCCCGACTGTCAGAAGAATCATTTTCTCTGTTCTCCCAGGGTACACAACAAAACGCCGGGGTCAAGTGCCACCCGCTACCCCGTTAGATCACTATGCAGCCGCTAGTGTAGTTAGCAGAAGCCACACTGTTATTACAGTCTTGTACTATCGCTTGGAAGGAGTATTCCACCGTAATTCCATCAATCCGTACGCTAAAGTACGTTACAGTACGCTACAGCATGCCGATGTATGCTGTAAGATATCTTCTCAAAACTGGCAGTGGGCTAGCGCTACAATACGTTACGCTACAATACGTTACGCTACGATACGCTACGCCAAGGCATACTACGGTACGCTACGATACGCTGCGAGACGATACGCTACGCTATGATACGATACGCTAGGATACGCATCGCAACGATACGTTACGCTAGGATACGCTATGCTACTCCAATCCATGCAAATTTTGCATATTCCGCTCACAATGTTCTTTAGCTTAAAAACCCAGCTGAGTCATTACCTTCCAAAATAAGAGCCATATTTCCTCATTTGAGTCACACGAGTGGACCCTCAACCAGTTTCTGATTCTGAAATATTCACCCGTCTCCTAATCTGATTTGTGATTGTCGTTTTGGGTTGACTGGGGCTGGCTGACTGAAGGGGAAATGAGGAAATTCCTTATCAAAAAAGAGCTCTCCCCTTCTCTAAACACGTGCCACGGATAGATCGGCACCTCTTCTGAGGGTCTGTGTCAGTTGGATTGTCGCGGAATCGATAGCTGGGAAATCGCGGTGAGGGCCCAAATGGTTCAAAACTTTGCGGTTTCAACGGTGAATCAGTTGAATATGGTCTTTCCGTTTTTCCTAAATAATCTTTGCTAGATTACCGGATTTGGACGGGCAAGCTGGCAGGGATTATTTAAAATAGTCCTTGCCGGAGTTGTCGAATCTGAGCGGGGCAGGCTAGCAGAGATTGTTTGAGAAACTGCCCAGATTTCTTTGTACCTTTTGAATAGCCCAGACGCTTGGCAATCTAGCAGAGACCATTTGTCTTATCGTATTTTCAGCCTTTTCAGACCCAGGGTAGCTAGCAGAGACCATTTGATTTGAGATTCCAAACTCTGTCGCTTCAGATAAAGGCAAGCTAGCAGATATCATGAGGGGCTAGCTAGCAGAGGGCTTTAAGGAAAATGTTATACTTTTTCTATTAAATTCGAGGCCAAATTTGGGACAGGCAAGCTAGCAGAGATCATTTGGGAGTGCGATTTCTGACCATATACCTCAGTGGATAGCAGTTCCGCCCGATTCCGCTATGCTCCGGAATGCATGTGTCCGGCGGTAGCCGTTCATTTGTCTGTCTCATATCTCTCTCTCTCTCTCTCTCTCTCTCTCTCTCGCTCTCTCTCTCTGCCAATTTTTGACGGGATAATGTCCCTTCCTCATCCGACGGGGCGCCTCCATTATTAATGGCCGGTCAGAACTAGCCGGAAACCCTAGAGAACATTTTAAAGGAACCAGTAAGTCAGGAAAGGCTATGGTTTCCTGAATCTGAACCTAGGAATTTGACTACAAACCACAATCCTCTGTCTCCATGATGTGGGTGGCCTTTCTAGAATTCCCTTAAGAAAGCCATCCCGGATTCCTGAAGGCCCCTAGCAACACCCACGGAAAACCTGAATTTTTTCGACTTTTGGGTGCGTTTTGGAATTCTTTTGAAAGCTCGGAAAACAGAAAATTTGACAGCAGACGGTCGCAAAATTTTTAGGCATGATTTTTGGCTTAAAAATGGCCTTCAGAATTTAACTTAAAAATTTCTAATTTTCCTGGCTTAGAGCGATTTTTATTCAGAATTTTATCAAAATTATTGAATTACTCTACGGTTCCTCAAACTTTTTTAATGTAATTTCTACCTATACCTGCAAAAATTCAGAATTTTTTTGGAAAGCGGAAGCCAAAATTGGGCGATTTTTACAATTTTTCATTTATTCAAATTCTGTGGTCAAATCCAGGCAATTTTGGCAATTTTCCAGCGCTCACCTATCATAAATCAAAAATGACAAGTGCAAAATAGGGTAGGGGAGGGGTCAGCGATTTTTTGGGAAAAGCGGAGGGCGCAGATTTTGTTTACTCGTTTCCGACCATCCCAATTCCACAATTTCGGAATATGCTCGATGAGTCAAGCTGCGCGTCTCTCTCTCTCTCTCTCTCTCTCTCTCTCTCTCTCTCTCTGTCTGTCTATTTGCCAGAATTGTCAGACCCACTTTGTGCCCCCGGATTTTATTGCCATTTTTGCGGGACGGAGGAGGGCAATGGGATTTTGGGCCCGAGTTCAGCGCCACATTCTTGTTGTCTGCTTTTTGTGGGTTTTTTAGCGAGTGTGTTTACATAGTTTCAGCTTTCTTTATCATTCTCTCCCCCTCTCTCTCTCACTCTCTATCGCGCTCTCTCTCGCTCTCACTCTCTCACTCTCCCTCCCGATTATGCAAATCCCAGCTGCGAATGACAATCTGCCATCGGTTTTCCCGTTCCAGCATTAATGCCCTAAGCAATTTTGGACTAAAATTGCATAATTTGCATATTTGGATACTGTTGCAATGCCTGACAGCCGAAATCTCGACGGCAAAAAACCTGAAAGGTTATGTCGGTATTTTTGACTGTCGGTATTTTCGATGTCGGGATGTCCTTTGTCTGGAACTTGAATGTCGGCATTTTCGACCGCTGAAATGATGTATGTCGGTATTTTCGCTGGAATTTTCATGCTACACCATTTAACGTTTTAAAAAATTAGTAAACCAACTTATAACTTTCTTATTGTTTGCAATGTCGAAATCTCAAGATGCTCTGCCATCTGATGCCGATGTTGTTGTATTTCGTGCCTGGAGCGTTCCTAGCAACGCTCGGCCCATTCGAACGGCAGAGAGAAGGGCCGGCGCACAAAATAGCGTACCACACTCCACGCTAAAATAGGGATTAGCATTCTGAATCATGCAGAGAGCGGAAGAGAGAGAGCGAGAGAGAGAGAGAGAGAGAGGGAGAGAGGGAGAGCGAGAGGGAGAGAGAGAGAGAAAGAGTGAGAGAGAGGGAGGGAGAGAGGGAGAGAGGGAGAGAGGGAGAGAGAATGACCGCCCCTAAATAATCGGCAATTAATCCAACCGGAATAATGGATGGTAGATCTTTGTGGAGCACGAAAGTTCAGGCTCACTTGTTATCTTTTTTTGAATAGATCCAAGTTAGATTAATTTTTGAAAATTCTAATTTTCTAATTACTAAAAAATAAAAATTCTGGAAAGGTGTATTTTTGCCAGAGCTGTTTTGCATGGAAGTTTGCTTAGGCTTAGGCTTTGCATGGGCTTGGCTTTGCGTGGACTTGGCTATGCATCGACCTGGCTCGGGCTTGGGCTTAGCTTGGGCTTAGGCTTTGCTTAGACTTAGGTTTAGGCTTGGGCTTCATCTTGGTCTTCTGTAAATACCTTAATGCCATTACTTTTCGTTCGATTTCTGCCCTTTGTATTTACGTGCTTATTTATGGGGCTGTAACCTATTCGAATCGCCGGAGGGCATATTATTAGGCGAGAGAGAGAGCGAGAAAGAGCGAGAGAGAAAGAGCGAGAGAAAGAGAAAGAGAGAGAGAGAGACAGAGAGAGAGAGAGAGAGAGAGAGAGTGAGATAGAGAGATCGGAATCCCAGCCCAAAATACCGAAACATCGGCATCAAAATCGCAGGGCTTGACGTATATTTCTGTCGTTTCTCTTTTTTAGCTTTATGCCCCGAGGCAGTAGATCTGCATCAATCTCAAGTTAGCCTTTTTTCCGGTTGGGTCCAATTTTCATTAGTTTTTCTGAGGGCTCTCTCCCGGAAAGCTATTAGGGCGAGCCGGCAGGAGGTGGTGGTCTTTGGTGAGGGTAGCAGCTGTGCGTGAGAAATGTAGGAAAAGCTACCGTACCTGTAAGATTAAGCGTTCGATCGGATACATAAGCTTTTCAAAAATGGCTTCTATGCTTCTAGGACAGTTTTCAAAATTCTAGGATCTCAAATATGAATTTTTAGGATCGTTTTAGGAGCTTTTCATGCAAAAAAGGGGACGGCGGAATTTTCCAGCGATTTTCGCTTCTTTTTTGCAACTTTTACACTAATTTTCATAAAATTTAACGATTTAGAGAGTTAAGAAAATACAGTATATCCTCCGATTTTTTTTGTTCTTATGATTACGCACATTTTTTTCCGATTTTCCGGCGAAATTACGATTTTTTTGCGGTATTTAAGTTTTTGGTAGTTTGTTTATTCGCTAAGATTTATTTTTTTGCGACATAAATAAATATACAGAAAATTAGTTCTACATTGATGATTGGTCGGCTAACGAAGTCGGCCCCTCTGGCGCTGGGGCTAATTTTTAAAGGTACACACTCCAAAAAGGGAAGTTGGAACGCGGGAAAAATGGAATTTCTCTGGGTACAAATTTGTACAATGTCCAATTTTAGATATATTTGTTCTATTTTATTATTAATGTAGATTAAATTCACCTAAAGATTCAAATTCTCTCCAAAGCGTTCTTGGTCCTTGAAAAATTGGAATTGATTTTAGATAATTTTTGCATTTAAGTCAGCTAATTTTGTAGCTTTTTGTGGCTGCTTTTACTTGTTTTTATCGTTCTCTTGCAATTCGACGTTATGCAAATTCACGAGACCCAATTTCCAGATGCTGGGCGAGAAGGAGAAGGACATTTTGCCGTACGCCATCTCGAAGGAGCACATCGTGCGCCGTGCGCCCACTTTTGTAGCTCTTGGACTTGTGGTGAGTTTTGTTAAATTTTATTAGAATTACTATTTTTATATTGGAACCAGCGGGGGAGGAGCCGCTTCGCGACTCTCCCCCGCTGGACCCCGTCTAGGCACTATGAATTGGTCGCCTTTTTCAATCCCACTACTCAGAGGACAGGGTTTCCTCGGCCTCTTTTTGTACCAATAATCAGTTGTTGTGAAAAAATCGTTTTGTCCTCTTTTTCCGGCCTGCGGCGCAAGCTTGAGCGGCTAGCTTCGTTTCAAAGCCTGCGGCGCTAGCTTGTGCGGCTAGCTTTGTTCTAAAGCCTGCGGCGCAAGCTTGAGCGGCTAGCTTCGTTTCAAAGCCTGCGGCGCTAGCTTGAGCGGCTAGCTTCGTTTCAAAGCCTGCGGCGCAAGCTTGAGCGGCTAGCTTCGTTTCAAAGCCTGCGGCGCTAGCTTGTGCGGCTAGCTTTGTTCTAAAAGCCTGCGGCGCAAGCTTGAGCGGCTAGCTTCGTTTCAAGGCCTGCGGCGCTAGCTTGAGCGGCTAGCTTCGTTTCAAAGCCTGCGGCGCAAGCTTGAGCGGCTAGCTTCGTTTCAAAGCCTGCGGCGCTAGCTTGTGCGGCTAGCTTTGTTCTAAGCCTGCGGCGCAAGCTTGAGCGGCTAGCTTCGTTCAAAGCCTGCGGCGCTAGCTTGAGCGGCTAGCTTCGTTTCCAAGCCTGCGGCGCAAGCTTGAGCGGCTAGCTTCGTTTCAAAGCCTGCGGCGCTAGCTTGTGCGGCTAGCTTTGTTCTAAAGCCTGCGGCGCAAGCTTCAGCGGCTAGCTTCGTTTCAAAGCCTGCGGCGCAAACTTCAGCGGCTAGCTTCGTTTCAAAGCCTGCGGCGCAAGCTTGAGCGGCTAGCTTCGTTTCAAAGCCTGCGGCGCTAGCTTGTGCGGCTAGCTTTGTTCTAAAGCCTGCGGCGCAAGCTTGAGCGGCTAGCTTCGGTTTCAAGCCTGCGGCGCTAGCCTGAGCGGCTAGCTTGTTCAAAAGCCTGCGGCGCAAGCTTGAGCGGCTAGCTTCGTTTCAAAGCCTGCGGCGCTAAGCTTGAGCGGCTAGCTTCGTTTCAAAGCCGCGGCGCTAGCTTGAGCGGCTAGCTTCGTTTCCAAAGCCTGCGGCGCAAGCTTGTGCGGCTAGCTTTGTTCTAAAGCCTGCGGCGCAAGCTTGAGCGGCTAGCTTCGTTTCAAAGCCTGCGGCGCTAGCTTGAGCGGCTAGCTTCGTTTCAAAGCCTGCGGCGCTAGCTTGAGCGGCTAGCTTCGTTTCATAGCCTGCGGCGCAAGCTTGAGCGGCTAGTTCGTTCAGCCTGGCTAGCTTGTGCGGCTAGCTTTGTTCTAAAGCCTGCGGCGCAAGCTTCAGCGGCTAGCTTCGTTTCAAAGCCTGCGGCGCAAACTTCAGCGGCTAGCTTCGTTTCAAAGCCTGCGGCGCAAGCTTGAGCGGCTAGCTTGTTCCGCGCCTGCGGCGCTAGCTTGTGCGGCTAGCTTTGTTCTAAAGCCTGCGGCGCAAGCTTGAGCGGCTAGCTTCGTTTCAAAGCCTGCGGCGCTAAGCTTGAGCGGCTAGCTTCGTTTCAAAGCCTGCGGCGCAAGCTTGAGCGGCTAGCTTCGTTTCAAAGCCTGCGGCGCTAGCTTGAGCGGCTAGCTTCGTTTCAAAACCTGCGGCGCAAGCTTGAGCGGCTAGCTTCGTTTCAAAAGCCTGCGGCGCTAGCTTGTGCGGCTAGCTTTGTTCTAAAGCCTGCGGCGCAAGCTTGAGCGGCTAGCTTCGTTTCAAAGCCTGCGGCGCTAGCTTGAGCGGCTAGCTTCGTTTCAAAGCCTGCGGCGCTAGCTTGAGCGGCTAGCTTCGTTTCAAAGCTGCGGCGCTAGCTTGTGCGGCTAGCTTTGTTCTAAAGCCTGCGGCGCAAGCTTGAGCGGCTAGCTTCGTTCCAAAGCCTGCGGCGCTAGCTTGAGCGGCTAGCTTCGTTTCAAAGCCTGCGGCGCAAGCTTGAGCGGCTAGCTTCGTTTCAAGCCGGCGGCGCTAGCTTGTGCGGCTAGCTTTGTTCTAAAGCCTGCGGCGCAAGCTTGAGCGGCTAGCTTCGTTTCAAAAGCCTGCGGCGCCAGCTTGAGCGGCTAGCTTCGTTTCAACGCCTGCGGCGCTAGCTTGAGCGGCTGGCTTTTTTCCAAAAGCCTGCGGCGCTAGCTTGTGCGGCTAGCTTTGTTCTAAAGCCTGCGGCGCAAGCTTGAGCGGCTAGCTTCGTTTCAAAGCCTGCGGCGCTAGCTTGAGCGGCTAGCTTGTTTCAAAAGCCTGCGGCGCAAGCTTGAGCGGCTAGCTTCGTTTCAAAGCCTGCGGCGCTTAGCTTGTGCGGCTAGCTTTGTTCTAAGCCTGCGGCGCAAGCTTGAGCGGCTAGCTTCGTTTCAAAGCCTGCGGCGCTAGCTTGAGCGGCTAGCTTCGTTTCAAGCCTGCGGCGCAAGCTTGAGCGGCTAGCTTCGTTTCAAAGCCTGCGGCGCTAGCTTGTGCGGCTAGCTTTGTTCTAAAGCCTGCGGCGCAAGCTTGAGCGGCTAGCTTCGTTTCAAAGCCTGCGGCGCTAGCTTGAGCGGCTAGCTTCGTTTCAAAGCCTGCGGCGAAGCTTGAGCGGCTAGCTTCGTTTCCAAAGCCTGCGGCGCTAGCTTGTGCGGCTAGCTTTGTTCTAAAAGCCTGCGGCGCAAGCTTCAGCGGCTAGCTTGTTTCAAAGCCTGCGGCGCAAACTTCAGCGGCTAGCTTCGTTTCCAAAGCCTGCGGCGCAAGCTTGAGCGGCTAGCTTCGTTCAAAGCCTGCGGCGCTAGCTTGTGCGGCTAGCTTTGTTCTAAAGCCTGCGGCGCAAACTTCAGCGGCTAGCTTCGTTTCAAAGCCTGCGGCGCAAGCTTGAGCGGCTAGCTTCGTTTCAAAGCCTGCGGCGCAAGCTTGAGCGGCTAGCTTCGTTTCAAAGCCTGCGGCGCTAGCTTGAGCGGCTAGCTTCGTTTCAAAGCCTGCGGCGCAAGCTTGAGCGGCTAGCTTCGTTTCAGCCTGCGGCGCTAGCTTGTGCGGCTAGCTTTGTTCTAAAGCCTGCGGCGCAAGCTTGAAATGGTTGCTTCTTTTCTAAGCCTGCGGCGCTAGCTTCCCCGGCTAACTTGGTTCTAAAGCCAAGCGGCGCAAAATTTAGCGGTCTTCTCCTTTTATAAGCCTGCGACGTAAGCTTGAGGGGTCAGCCGCAAACATTAGTCTGCGGCGCTAATTTCAGCGTCAAGCTGGGTTTATAAGCCTGTGGCGCAGTTTTGGGCAATTAACTTCATAATAACGTCCTTACACGGAAATCTACTCCGAAACGCACTTCCCGAGCAAAAAGCAAAACAACTAAAATATCCGAGGATCGAACCTCCGATGGTTAGGTTAGTACGGCGAAGCGCTAACCACTACACCATGCAATGCTTGGCAGCACCCGTAAAACACCCCTTTCATGTCTCAAGGGGGCTGCCCGGGGCAGAGGGAGGAAAGGCATCGAGAGGCAGATCCAAAGAGACGACCAAACTCGCGAGTGCAACTGGCAAGAATGAGGAAATTTGTATTTTTTCACATTATGCAAATTAGCCCTCCCGCACCCCCAAAAATGAATAAAACTGGCTTTAACTTTGTAAACTTGTATTTTATCGGGATTCTGAAAACGCCATCGGAAAGAGGAGGGTCGATTCCCCCGGGTGACGGAGAATTAGGGCATTTTGGACACGGGAAGGCCCTCAAATCGGGCCTCGAAACTGACATCCACACACACACACACAGAGATACACTCCAAAATTATATAAGGTAGGATTATTTTGTGTGAGTGGCCACGATAAATTAACGCTCTAAGCTATTCAATTACGGCCTATAAAATCGCCAATCGTAAAAGTTCAAATTTCCTATTAAATATCATAAAGCTCGGTTGTCTTGCAAGCTCCTTTAAACTCCATTTTAGGCCCTTGGCTGGTTCCTGAATGAAGTGGTCTGGTGGATCCACGAACGAGTACCCCGAAATGTCGACCCGCTCCCGGATATGTGGTTTTCCTGGTTTCCGGAGGTATTGTAGATGTTCGCTCTGTCTCTCTCGCTCTCTATCTTGCTCTCTATCTCCACTCGCCTCTTGCTTTCGCGCACTCTCACTCTCTCGCTCCCTTACTCGCCTCTCTCTCTCTCTCTCTCTCTCTCTCTCCTCTCCTCTCTCTCTTTCTGCCTCTCTCACTCGCTAGCTCCCCCCCCTTGCTCTCTCCGCTCTCTTGCTTTCGCGCACTCTCACTCTCTCGCTCCCTCCCTCGTTCTCTCTTTCTCTCTCTTTCTGTCTCTCTCTACTCTCTCGCTCTCTCTATATCTCAATTTTCCAGGTCCGCGGCGCCATCCGGATAACCGAATACATCATGCTCATCTTGGTCATTAATGCCTTTATCATTGTGTTCTGCCATCAGCATAGGTTAGTCTTTAAGCCTAAGCCTAAGCACAAGCCTAAGTCTAAGCCGAAGCCTAATGCCTATTTCGACCCCCCTCCACAACCCAAAATTTCAGGTGGATCGTTGCTCGTCGAGTGTTCTTTTGCGCGGCCGTTTCCTATTGCTTCCGAGCATTCTGCGTCACTATTTTCCAGGTAAGCTTGTGAAATTAACGTTTATAATATTCCTTAAAAAACTATAATAACCATTATTTGACCATTTTCAGGTTCCCGTCCCATCGGTGAACACCTATTGTGCCCCAAAGACGGCTGGAGGCTGGGAAATTGTTGCTGGTAGGTGATATATAATATTACGTTAGACATATAGAGCAAGGACCGCGATTATGCGTATTTTATAAATTTTTAAAAATCGAAAAACCGCAAAAATATGTGGTCTCAGCCGCCCCTACCCGACTCCACCCCGTCTGGACCCTCTTTGCCTTTCCTGCTCTCTGCAGGCCGAGCTGGGGTCTCATAGGCCCCATCCCGTCCCCTCACCCTCATGTCATTCTGGCCGAGTGGTCTAAGGCGCTGCGTTCAGGTCGCAGTCCTCTTCGGAGGGCGCAGGTTCGAATCCTGCGGATGACAGCACTTTTTGCTTTTTGACGCAAAGTATGGGAATTGAATTTGGAGTAGTTTACAAGCATAGGTATAGCTTCTTTATCATGGAAAATACATATAGGGTGTTGATGCGATAATTAAGTGTGGCGAGTTTTAAGTTTTTTTACGAGACTTTTTAAACCGTGCTATCCTCATTCCAGGCCGCGTCGCCCGCATGTTCTGGTCAGCTGGCATTGAGCAGCTACGGCCACGTGAGCTCTGTGGAGATCTGATCGTCTCCGGGCACACGCTGACCATCTTCACGTCGCTGTTCACCTTCAAGCACTACGCGCCGAAGAAGCTGAAGCCGGTCGGGTACCTCTTCCACGTGCTTGCATTCTGCGCCATTGCTTCGATCCTGCTGGCGAGGAAGCACTACATGATCGACGTTGTGTTGGGGTGAGTGGAATTTTTTGAGTTTAAGGGGACCGGCAAGCCAAGAATCTGATATTTTCTAGGTTCTTTTTCGTTAGCGGGGGGAGTGCGCCGCCCCCCGCTAACGAAGTAGCACCCAGTCAATCAATTTTTCCGCTTTTAAAGGCGCCGGCAAGTCAAATAATGTATAATTTTTGAATTTAGATACACCGTCTCGTCGCGCGTGTTCATGGAGTACCACTCGCTGGCCCTGTCCTACCACGAGAACCAGCTGGAGCGCAATTTGCTGTCGTGGAGCTTCTGGAGCCCGATTGTGCCGTATTTCGAGCAGGTAAGAATTAAGACGTAACCTAAGCCTACGCCCCAGCCTAAGCCTAAGCTTAGACCTAAGCTTAAACCAAAGCCTGAACCTAAGCCTCAACTAAGCCTAATCCGAACCAAATTTTTTCAGGACGCGCCCCACCCGCAGCACTTCCTCAACCGACTCGAATGGCCATCCAGCTGTGCCAAGCGCATCAGCAAGCTCATCAGCTAAATTGAAGCTACCTACTACAAACTACACCCTATACGTCTGTAGCTTCAAAATCTTCGACTACAGACTACAAGCCCTTTTTATTCTGTCTGAAATTTGACCCCAGTCTCTAGCATCTATGATTTTTTCGACTTTCCGAGTGTATATACCCCCCCCACGAATTCCGACGAATCTCGCCCGGCGCCCAGAACCCCAGTGCTTACGGAAATTTAGGGCAATTTTTTTCATCAAAATCTGCATTTTTACTCCATTTTTTCGATATTTTTTTGGCAGTTTAACTGGACTCTCACCCCGAAAATTTTGCTCCAACTCGGCCCGCTGCTTAACGCCCATGGCAAATTGCCATAACACTTAAAAAACGACTGGGCAATACTTAATTTCTTCTAGTTCTTTAAACCTAAGCCTAAGCCTAGGCCTAAGCCGAAGCTGAAGCCTGGGTGCCTCCAAGCTTAGCCTGCTTAACCCTAAGCTGCTCCAAGCTAAGCCTAAGCTGAGCCTAAGCCAAGCCTAAGCTTAATCCTAAGCTAAGCCCAGCTGCCGCTAGCCTAAGCTGCCTAGCTAAGCCTGCTAAGCCTGCTTGCCTAAGCTAAGCCTAAGCTAGCCTAAGCTAGCTCTAAGCTAAGCCTAAGCTGCCTCAGCTGCCTGCTAAGCTTCGCTAAGCCTAAGCTAAGCCTGTTAAGCCTAAGCTAAGCCTGCTCAAGCTAAGTCTAAGCCAATTCTTCGAGCCCCGATTCTATGTCTACTTCTACTTCCTCATCGTGCCAACATGCTAGGAAAACGGTTTGAGGACTATATTTGCATTTTTTCTGAATTCAGCCTTGTTTTATTTGTTTTTTATAGCTTAGAAATGTTAATTTAAAGGGGCTGGCAAGGCAACTACGGATTTTGGCCATATTTTTATCAATTAAAAGCTAATAAAATTCATAGCTGTACCTTAACGATCCCTTTAATTTTTTCAGTCATTTTGTGCAAGTTCCCGCTGCTGGTTTCCTGTGATTTTGCGGATAAACGAGTACCAGATTTATTGCGTACGGTAGAAGAAACGAAAACACAGAGAATTTTGGTACTTTTTCGGGTGAGATTCGACTTGAAATGTGACTTAAAAACAAATAAATAGGGATTAAATCAATAAATTAACAGTTGGAGAAGTGTTTAGTTGTAGAGGCGGACTCAGGCGGAGTCGAACTCCTCGCCCAGAGTTTGGGAGACGTTGCGACACTTGCTGAAAACGATAAGTTCTTCGAAATCCTGGGTCTTAAAAACCCGGTCTTGAAAGTATTTTTTTGAAATTAAAAATTTTAATTTAAAGCGTAGGAAATATCGGCCTGAAACTTTCTTTCATCTTTGTGATTTTTTTTGAAATACCAATTGAATTATGCAAAGCCTAAGCCCGAGCCCAAGCCTAGGCCTGATCCAAAGCCTAAGCCTGGGCTTGCGCCTCAAATAGCTTTAACATATTCGGATTTTTCTCATTTTTGGTCGAACTTTCGACAAATTGCAACTGATTTTCGATGAAATTGATGTTCGACAACACAAATTACACAAAACTCCTACCGTATCCTCGCGGCCATCAATATTTTGTGGTAAAAGCGTGGGCGGGGCTTCTGTGTTTAGACCCTGGAAAGGCGTCTGCTAGGATTTTAGTCAGCCTTGCGGTATTTTTAAGGTCTTAGCAAGCCTAACCAGTTACGCTACGAAATTCGAGGTGACGTTTTTGAGATTTTTCGCAGTGGCATTCGGTTACAGCATGGTCAATGCTATCTCCAAAAAGGTCGTAGTAAGTATTAAAACCACTGACTTGTACATCAACCTGGTCGCCAGCCGGTTGCAGACGGCTCGCCGACCGCGAGCGGGCAGGTGCGACAGCAGCGATTGGCAGCGGCGAGACGCTAAAATTCAGAATTTGATAAACCAAAACAGGCTAAAACATTTAATGAAAACTATAAAACTGCTAGAAGTGATTTGAAAGCCATTTGAGTTAAGGCAAGCCAGATAAGTTTGGTAAGTCAGCTTCCTCAATACCGCGGTTAATTCAAGCCGAGTTACTCGGGTAAGTAAGCTCCAGCTAAATAGCGTAAATCAGTCAGTACGACAAGTCGACCTCCATTTTTTTCATTTCATCGGCTTCATTAAGTCAGGTTAGTCAATCTGGAAAGTCGGTCTAGCCAGGCTTTGTCAGGTAAGCCCGATAAGCTGCTGGATCGATAATTCGTGTAAGTCAGCAGCAGAAACTCGGCAAGCCGCTTTCGCGTCGTCGGATAGTTCCAACGAAGCTCTCCAGTGAAGCTAAATCGGCTTCATCAATTTATCGAGGTAAGCCTGGGTCAGTGAAAAAAGCTTCTTCGCCAAGTCGGGTAAGCCAAGCCAGGAAGCCAGATTCAGGAAACCAGACTGATCAGTTCTTTAGTTAGGATTAAGCCGATAAAGTAAGCTCCTTCATTAAGTCGGGTAAGTAACGCCAGCTTCAGCAGTTAGTTAGTTGCTTAAGCCGATGAAGTAAGCTTCATCAATAAATCAAGCAAGCCCAATCCGAAACCAAGCCAAAGCTTCACCCTCCCCACCTATCGATCGCCGCGTCCCCAAATGCTGCCCTCATCTTCGCCTCAGTCTCAAGCTCGAGCTCCCTAGCCTCTCTTTCCTCCGGAGTTCTCATATATCCATCATGAACCCGACCCTCATTTTCTCTAATCAGCATCCGTTTTCCTCTCGGGGCTTCTCGAACTTTGTCTGGGTCTTCGAGCTTGTGCTTCGCCAGTCTCGACTCCTCCGCTACGACCAATACTCTGCCACTGGGGAGGATGAAGTAGGACTGCTTCGTAGTCGTAAAAACACTGAAGCTCTGGGGCTTGGCTTGGCCGGCTTGGGCCTTTTTTGAGCTCGGAGATGATGGCCAGGATTTCATTAGCTTGTTGGGAGCTGGGAGGTTTGTAGTGGGAGGAGCCACGGCGAGATCTCGTGTCTTTAGGTGTGGCTCGAAGTGGGCGGGGGGTTACGGTAAGCGGTACGTTCTGTCCGTCGGGGATGTTTTGTACGTTTGGTACGCTTCGTACAGCAGCTACGTTTTGCACGTTGGGTACGTTCTGAACGTTAGTTACGGTCGGTACCTTTTGTACGGTAGTTGCAATAGGGAATCCTGCTGGAATCATGCCTAAAACCGGCTCCTGAAATTGCGGAACGAGCTGCTGATGGTATTGCGGCAGAGGTTGAACTCCTTGAAATTGAGGCTGTGCTTGACCTTCTTGAACTCCTCGTTCCAAAGTCCATTATACACCGGCCGCACGGTCTGTGGATAGTATTGTAGCGTATTTTGAGCTGCTACATCCAATACCGGGCGCACGGTCTGTGGATAGTATTGCTGCGGAAGTGGTTGAACTGCTTGAGGTACTCGGGGGAGTGCCCTCATAGCGGAATCGATTTCCTGGACGATTAGGTTCGGGTTCTGGGATTTAAGCCCTCTTACGTCAGCCTCAATTAGGATCGGATTTTTCTTGAGTACGGGGTGTACCGCTTTGACGATTTTTGCTACCGCTTTCTCGAGCTTCTCAGGCCGTTCTTCTTCTAGTGTGAATCTACCGACAAATCTTGGCTTCATATTCACCGGATTCCGCTCCCAATCCAGTTCCTGGTCTTGAAAAACGCGATATAACGTCGGGTTCCGCGTGGTCCCGGTGTACGGCTTCAACTTCTCGGCGGTCGTAGTGGTCGTAGCGATCGTACTGGTTCGGTAGAATTCGTCCTCAGCTTTTTTCCGGGCTTCTTCCTTAATTTTTACGATGGCATCGGCTTCGGCAAGTTCTTCTTCAGATGGCGGTCCTACCGTAATCTCTGATAGTGGATCTACGGTAGTCATATCTTTTTCAGAATTCTTTATCGTCGTGACCTCATCAGAATAATCCGGCAAAGCTACCGTAACCTCGTCCATAGGAGCCGTCGTAGTCGGGGTTACTGTGGTGGTAAAATCAAGGTCTCTTTGCCCGAGCGTAACTTCCGGAGTCTCTCCCTTAGCCACGTCAGTAGCTACCGTACTCGACGCCGTATCCCCCACGCTGATTTCCTCAAAAGTGACCGTGCCCATAGGGGCCTGCGTAGTCAAGTTTTCTTCAAAATATTTGACGATTTCTTTATCCGAAAAAGTATCAGCTTCCGGCTCGAATTTCCCGGCCTCCGGTACCGTCTCCCTCTTCTTCCGGATCTCCGTATCCGTCACGACCGGTTTTTTGGCTATAGGGACCGGAAGTTCCGTTCCTTTTCTATTTATCGATCCTCCCTCAGACCTTCGGGGTACGGTGGTTATAGTGTCGTTTAGCAGGATGAGAAGGGTCGTGTCTGGGATTGGAATTTTTGTAGTTTGTGGCCTTGTTGTAGTGTTACTCTGCGCTACGGCAATAGTACTCCTACGTACAAATTTCGCCCTTTTCTTCGATTTCAATTTTCGCTTCAGAATTTTTGCATCAAGCCCAAAATTCTCGTTTTTAGGCACCGGCAGATCCGCCAAAATTAAGGCCACCTTTTTGCCGGGGATTACTGTAGGGGTTAAGGTCATTTTGAAGCTAGGAATTATCCGTTTTTGGAATTTTGTATCAAATTTTGAAGCGCTTTTCTTGCCTTGTTGTTGTGCGGCTACCGTAACCGGTGCTACCGCACCCTTTCTACGTGCTTTTTCGATTTTCTGCGCATGATTTTGGTAAAAGCGGCCGTTGTAGTGGGTAGTGTCGTGGAAAAATCCTCAGATACGGTAGTTCTCTGCTCGATTTCCGCAAAGATCCCCTGGCCAGATTTTTCCTCCACTAGGCTGCTCTCGAATTTTGAGAGAATCTTTTCGACGATTGTTCTTAGGTAATCTTGAGACGGGCTTTCGAGCTCTGGCAGTGCTTTCTTGGGTTCCGCCTTTTCCAATTGACGATTCGCTCTAGTTCGTTTGCGTAGCCGTCGCTTTTTGATGCGTCTTTTGGTGATTTTTGTTTTGGGGCGTACTGTACTTGGGGCTTCAACGCTCCTATCGACGATATTATTACCTAGTACGGCCTCGTCACGAGCCTCCTCGTCGAAGGGGAGCATACCGGCCGGGAGTGGGGGTTGTTCTGGAATTTTTTAAGTTTTTAGTGGTAGGATAGCTAAGTTTGACTTTCTTTTCACTCTCTCTCTCTCTCTCTCTCTCTCTCTCTCTCTCTTCATCTTTTAACTAAAATCAAAGCCAACAAATAACGAGCCAATTTAAGCTAATAAAAGACGTTCAATAATTTTTTAAAAATTCGTATTTTATTTTAATACTAATTAATACTTTTTGTCAATAACAGTAATTTATTTTTATTTTCCATTCACACCCCGAAAATTGTTTTCTGAAACCCACCTGGTCCGGCAAGCAGCAGTTCCGTTTCGGTGGGCGCGGTCCGGGCAAAGCTGAAAAACAGCGTTTAGGGTACTTCCAAAAAATGACGCTTTACCATTATTAATTAATTATTTACCAGGGTTGAAAAGCCGCTTTGCGACTTTTCAACCCTGGCCCGTCTTATCCAATGAGATTTCTCAATTTGCATAATTCTCGCGAACCGCAATGCCAAAAATAAAAATACGCCCTCGGTCTCTTTATAAAGGCTTTTCTCACTTCCGGCGCATGCTAATTGATTCCTAACAAAGCGGGTGACAAAAATTTTTACTAAAAACCTAATTTTAATATCGAAAATAGCACTTTTTCGTCGATTTGACATTTGTGCAGTGGTTCCGAGACCATTACGCATCCAATGACATATCAAACATGCTCTAAAACCCTTTCTCTATCGAGATACGACTGGAACATACTGACGGAAGTTGCATGCAAAGTTACACACACACACATACACTATTTTTTATATAATTGCCAGCGCCCAAAACCCGCTTCGCGGGCCTTGGGCGCTGGAATGGTGCGTTTGCATGGGAAATTTGACTTTCCGGTAGCTCGGGTCCTTCGGACCCCCCCCCCCCCACACCCGCGCGCGCAACTCGCAAGAATGAGGAAATTTTTATTTTTTGGAATTATGCAAATTAGCCCTCCCTGGCGCCGGACACACACACACAGAGATACGCGACCAAATTATATCATTTGCCGATATATTTATTAAATTAGTTGTGCTAATATAAATTTTAATTCATGCCTGGCGAGCCCAACCACCATCACGACCAATCCGAATAGCATACCCGCCCGCATCGTTCGCTGGAAAAGGAAAGATTAGAGAGAGAGAGAGAGAGAGAGAGAGAGAGAGAGAGAGAGAGAGAGAAAGAGAGGGAGAGAGAGACAAGGAGAGAATTGGGCCATATAATACTCATAGTTTATAGACAGCCAAAAAATTTTGTTACACCCTGTAAGAAACAGATTTCGCCTCTCAAGTCCAACTATCCTGGATCGCAAGACCCAAGCACGTCCCATCAAAAAATCATCCAATTTTCACCCACAGCCCCAAATTAAATTCGGCCGGGCAGGTGTTCGGTTGGAGCATGGTGGAGCCGACCACGAAAAACGCGAATAAACCTCATCATAAATCAGCGGGGGGTGGGGCGCGAAAAATTGGATCACCGAAGGGCAAGGCATTTTTACAAGATTACGGCGTGGATGGAACCTGGTATGCTTTATCATTAATGCTAGGGCGAGAGTAAACAAGAGGGGAGAGCGTAAGAGAGAGAGAAAGATGAGAGACATCGAATGAGAGAGAAAGAGAGAAGTATCGATAAATTACCTTTTAAACTAACTATGATCAAAAATCCGGCATCCTTGGCACCAAAAATTAAAAAACCGCAAAAAAGGAACCCATGCACAGCGAATCTCTCTCTCTCTCTCTCTCTCTCTCTCTCTCTCTCTCTCTCATTCTACCTTTCTTTCTCTTTTTCTCTCCCTCTTTCTCATTGAGGGGGCGTGGGGGAATCTCATTTGCTCTTTATGCCAAATTCGCGTCCAAAAAAGGCCTGAGAAAAAGGGGCACGGAATGAAAATGGAGGGCTTAGTTCGGGGTTACATTTCTGTAACATGGCGTCGTGTCTCATGAAAAAAATAGACAGCGGATTACTATGAGGAATTGAAAAAGTGGAAATCGGAATGGGAAGCCATAAAATTTGGAAGTTGGGCGATTTTTGCAAACCGTTAAAGTGTATAAACACAACCAACACCAAGCCCAAGCCTAAGCTAAGCATAAGCTGAAACCTAAGCTTAAGCGTCAGCCCATACAGAAAAGATAATTTGAATTCCGTCAAGTTCCGAAAAACCCAAAGCTTGACGCCAGGTGAAAACGTAAAACCAAAAGCGAAAAACAAGTTTTTGGTGAAAATCTACTTTGACCGAAACCGGGAACTTCTCTAATTAGAATCCCAGACAATTGTAGCTAGTGCGGGCGTGGGATAAAAAAATATTTGGCAATTTTTCGAGCCTAAAAGTCCGCGCCAAAAGCAGAAGCTGAAAATCCGGAGGTAAACTGGTTGAAATTGGTCGCAAATTGCCGAGCGGTTTCTCCCTCTCTTTCTCGCTCTATCTCTCTCTCTCTCTTTCGCTCTCTCTCTCTCTCTCTCTCTCGCTGTCTCTCTCCCTCAGCTCAGGGCCAATTTGGCTAGAAAAGTGCTTCCGGCCTAATGGGGTTCCAGGACCCTCAAGATTTTTGACGCGAGATTTGGCGGGTCGAACGTTGGAGCATGGCGGAACTTTTCTGTAGTTTCTAGAGTTGAGGAAAACTAGCAGAGAACCATTGAGAAAAGAAAGAAGGTGTTAGCTAGCAGAAGCCTTTTAGGAGGGAGAGCAAGCGAAGAGCCTTTAGGAGTCGAAATTCAACAAAGCAGGCGGCTAGCAGCGATGCTCGGAAACCGAAATTTCCTTAGCAGAGATTCTTTGGGGAAGCAAAAGAGGATATTGGGCAGCAGAAATTTTTTAACGGAAGAGGATAGCATAAATGGAAGCTAGCAGGCATCCTTTCGGATGTCAAAACTAGCACGGCAGGCTAGCAGAGAAAACTTGGGGAAAATGAAAGGGTCTGCCAGCAGAAACCCCTTGGCGAACCCAAAATCAACAGGGCAAGATAGCAGAGATTCTTTTGGAATCGAAAACACGCAGCTGTCTAGCAGGGGAACATTCGAAACAACATATCTACCAGTTGAAACCTTCAAATGAGGGCAAACCAGCAGAGATACTTGAGGGAAGGAACAAGGTTTTGATATTGGAATTTCTATCTATATAGGGCGCCTTGAGGAGTTCAGACTTTTAGTAATAATTCAAAAAAAAAACTTGCAAAAAGTTAGAAGTGCCATTAGCAAGCGTTAACAACCAAACGCGATAAATGTTCCTTTGCGATGCGCTGATGGTTTGGAGACAGATAGCTGGTAGGAGGTGGTGAAAGGCGAAAGGCAAAGCAAAAGTGATGGAATCGGTCATGGACTGTAAGTCGGGGGTTGGAGTGGGAGAGTGAGAGAGTGAGATAGTAGAGAAAGTGAGTCCCGGCCTTCACCCTATCCTCCAATAGATCTCAAAACTCACCCCCCCCCCTGGGGGCGCGGAAAACCGTTTACGGAACTTGTTGGTGTTGGGGAAATTGAAGGGGGTGGAGGAAGCTGAAGCTAGTGATCAAGGACTTTTTGTAATGTTGGTCGTTTGAATGGGGTTTTGTTCTTAAAGGTTTTTGAGAGGTTTTTTCACTCTTTTGTTAACTTTCTCTCTCTCTCTCGTTCTCTCGCTCTCTGGCTCCTCTCTCACCTACTCTCTCTTCTCTCTATCTCTAGCACTGTCGCTCTCTATAGCTCTGTCTCTCTCACTATTACTCTCGCTCGCTCTCGCTCGCTCTCTCTCTCTCTCTCTCTTTTTTTTTTTCGCTCTCTCTGCCTTGTTATCTCGTGATCAACGCATAGCATCAGCTTTATTTACATCATCAATGCTTTATTAGTTCTCGATTGTGGGTGGTGGTGGTAGCCACTATCTAGAAATAGCGAGCTCCACGGGCGACGGCCTCGGGGCCCTGGCTGGGGCGAGTTCCGTGGGTGGGCTCGGTTCCGAAGCACTCATGCAGATCGAAGCACGTCTGCCACGGGTCCTTTCCTGAAGAGAAAATATTAGAATACGTCGAGAGAGAGCGAGAGAGAGCGAGAGAGTGAGAGAGAGAGAGAGAGAGAGAGAGAGAGAGAGAGAGAGAGAGTGAAACGTACCAGCGGTCAGATCAGCGTAGATGGTGTCAATCTGGGCGGCAACCATGGCCTTGCACTGGGTGACGGCATCCTTCAACCCTCGTAGCGGCCGAGCTCGTTGCACTCCTATAAAACGTGGTACATGGTAGATGACCAGGGAATTGAAAGAGTACTTAGCGATCTCAATGTATGAAGGCCAACAAGGTTAAGTAAAAGTTAGTTCTAATAGGTATCAGTTAATCTGATAAGTCATACCTGGGTGAGCTGGGTTAGAAGGGCTCCCTTGTCGTTGATGTTGTTGTGGAAGTGGTGGACGGCCTGGGCAATCAGGTAGTCGCAGATCTGGCACGGGCCAGGGGGTCGGCCGTTGCTGAAAATCGGGTGGTAAGGAATGTTTCAAAAAAACTAATACACATATTGCGTCAGCACAGGTTCTTACAAAAACCAAATTTTGTAGATTTAATCCAATTATGTCTAAAGTTACGGTAGCCAAGAAACGCTTGGTCCCGCGGATACGGTATTAAAATTGAACAAAATATCAGAAGTCTGATAAAAAACCATGACATTCCGCCTTAAAGGGGCTGTGAAGGCAAAAGATCAGTGACGATAGCCAGCTTTTTGCAAAAAACTAAGTACTTTAGGCGTCTGGCGACGCCCCCCTCAGGCTATTTTCGGACGGCACTATTATTTTATGGATATGCTAGTCCCAAATTTTATAGTATCCATAGATTACGGTCTCTTTAAAGGTGTCTACAAGGCTTAATATAAGTTCATAGGTATCCTGGACCTTAAAAAATCCATAAAAACCGTATAGTTGTGTTCATGTTTTTTATAGGTACTTACAAGACTTAATAAAAGTCGATAGGTATCCTGATCTTAAACATATCGAAAAGTCCTATAGATGAGTTTCATATCCCTTTAGACATATCAAAGAGGTTGAAAGAATTTTTTTCTATCACAAAAATCCTCAAAAATCTCCTGAAAACTCACGGCCAGGGCAACAACAACGACGGCGGCGAGGGCAAGGACGAATTTCATCTTTGCTGTGTTTTGGGGTATTCCGAATTTTCAGCCGTAAAATTCTGCTTATATACACTGATTGTAGCCCTCGATGTTTCTCGACGTGCTATCAGAGTCGTGGGAAATGGCAAAGCTGTCGGCTGATGGCGAGAGAGCGGCAAAATGCGAGAGAGCCAGAGGATAAGGAGTCCCGGATCTGGGCTTAACGGGATTAGTGACGGCCAGCCAGAGCAGAAGCCTGTACTGTATCAAACGTGTGGACAACAAAATGGAAAAGTGATACGCGGGGCGTGTGGTTTGTTAGGTCATTTTGGACAGGGGTCAAGACATCAAAGGAATTATGGAGGATGCGGAGGTTGAAGCTTAGCCGTAGTTTTAGGTCTGGCTTAGGCGTAGGCTTCGGCTTAAGTCTACGCTTAGGCTTAAGCTTCAGCTTAGGCTTGGCCTTAGGCTAGGCTTGGCAAGGAATCCGCCAGCGGCTCGACGTTCGACTTTGGTTAGTGAGGTAGTTCGTCTGATGCAGTTTTACGCTGATTCCGAATACTGCAGCTGATTTTTGCTAAGGCCCGTTAGTTTTCGAGTTTTGCTCGTTATTACGGTAAAACTAACAGTCTGCGACCAAAAATGGACCGCTGAGCTTCGAAAGCCACCAAATCCTTAAAGCTGAACAATGCTGTACAATACTTTGGGCCAACCGCCGGGAAAGTTTCTTAAAAAAATAAAAATAACGCTTTATGACGCAACGACAACAACGAACGAACGATTAAAATTTGATTTTCTCGGATCGGATTCCCCATGGTTTTTCACCCCGGCCCGGTAAATTGCTTTGCATTCAGAAAACAGTTTATATCTTTAAAATTAAAAAGGCCAAGGCAAAAATGAGCTGCATATTCGGGATCAGCGTAAAAAACTGCATTAGCTGGATTATCTCACAAAGCAAAGCTGAACTTCGAACTGGTAAGTCCGCTTCCCTGTTAGTTTCCATTTTTAAGGGTTTCGAAGTCGCCAACTTCCAAGCCCGCTAAAATGCGGCTCAGAGAGAAGATTAGTCCAAGAATCACGTGGACGAGGGTGCATCCCCGATGGACATACCCTGGGACCGTCCATCAACTCTGAACGATATCGTCATCGCCGCGGGCAGGGTCGAACCAGGGCCTTTCGCGTGGCAGCCCGAGTTCTTAACAATACACCACCGCCACTCGGGGCCCAAAGAACACCCTTGGAGGTCAATAAGAGCGGGTTCGCGCAGGTGTGAGGAGATTCCAGTGAGAGAGTGCTGCATTAATGGCGTTATTCCGGTATGGGTTGGATAGGATCACCAAAATTTCTTAATTTTGATCTGCCCTGGTCGGATTGATTTTGACACGCTAAACAGAGTTGAGGTAAATGTTGATAATATAACCCGGTGCAAAAATTTAAGCATTTATTTACATTCCCAGATCAAATTCGATATTCTAGTGGCACTGCTTCATCTGCCTGGGAGGCCTGAGGAGTTGAGGCGGGAATCGGGCGGAGTTCCGCCGGTGTGAGGCTGGCACTCGCCGATGTCTTCGCATGTCTACCAGATACGGTCACCGGCCTGGAGGGTCGGCGAAGATCTTGTCGATCTGGAGATGGAGGGATAGGCACGTTTAGGCTTAAGGTTCGGCTTAGCAGGTTTAGGTTTGAAGCCCAGGAACGCCTAAGCCTGAACTTCAGCCCAGGCTTAGGCCTAGGTTAGGCTTCATCGCGGCTTAGCGTAGGCGCAACATGGGCCTCGCATGAGTTGAACTCAGGCTTGGCAAAAACTTAGATTTTGCCTGGGTATCTGATTGAGCATGAGTTTCTTACCTGCTTGGTAGCAACATCAGTGCAGTGAGCGGCAGCCTGCTGTCCCTCCCGGCGACCAAGCCATTGGCACTCGACAGGCAGCTCCTGCTTCAGCGCCGTCTTGTCGGTGATGTTGTTGTGGAAGTGGTGCTCGGCCTCGCGGATGATGAAGTCGCAGTCGTGGCACAGGTCGTGGCCGCGTTGCTGAAACTTTAGAATGGGGCTCTGCTTGTTTTTAGGCTGGGAGGCTTGGGGCTTAAGCTCGGGCTTAGGTTTATTAGGCTTAAGGTTAGACTTGGAGCCGCGGAAGCGGAGCTTAAGCTTAAAGCCACTCAACCCACGGCAATGACAACGACAGCGGCGAAAGCGACGAGCAAGCAGGTACTTCAGCATTTTTAGTGTTTTTGATTGTTGGGGTGCGACAGCGGCGTCTCTCCCTTCACTTGTTGAGCTTATAAACCGTTCCCCGAGATTCGAATCTTATCAATTTCCAACGTCAACGTTAATCCCCCCTCCAGAAGCGTCTTTGTCCTCTAGGTGGAGCCGCGTACAGATTGGATCAGGTCGGATCAAAAAGTGGGAAGTTGCGAGCATTCGGGGACGTTTTCAGGAGAAAACGAGAGAAGAAAAAAATTTTACCACGTTGCTGCAGAAAAGATGATTTTTCGACCTGGAACTATCAAAGTAACAAGACTCAAATGCCAGCCTGTGATCGGAGGTGTTTTGTAGTGTCCCGTACTTTTACAGTTAGAGGTGTAGTCTGTCGAAATATCGTGAAAAACGCGGCGAAAAAGGCCTCCTTCCGTGGAATTAAAAAACATAGAGCAATAAATATTAAAATTTATATGAACTCCTGCCAGTTAAATTCAACACATTTTGAAAGCGTCATCCTGCTCAGAATTCTCCGGTTCTTTGGCATTATCGGGGGCGGGCATGGTGATTTTATCCGGGGATCAGCTATTTTAAGGATTGCTTAGTTCTGATTTAAATAGAGCAAGAGTTTTTGCGCATAAAAAATACAACTTTTCGCAAAAAATACAAAAAGATGGATTCGCGGTGGAAAATGGCGATTTTCGATAACAATGTAGTTAAAATTTTGTCAAGAACATTATTAACGCACCGCACATACTGTTAAGAAACTAAGCATTTGTTTACGTTCTACACCCCCAGCGATAATAGGAAAGAACCCAGTTTTCTTGTCATCAAATCTTGCCAAGATTCTATCCAATTGTCGAGTCCAGCCGGTCCAGCTCCCATGCCAAAGTTCAACTCCTGGGTCCCCCAGCGCCTGAGTTCGTGATT